TTTGACAATGCCCTGCAAGAGCTAATAGTTGTTGAGCTTTCCGTTTCCGGGTAGTTTTTAGAACTATTCTTACTAATGCCCCAGAGATGGTGGAAAATTATTGTTGCTAGCAGTTTTTGTTTCTTGTTACAGGTAATCCTCAACTTAGAATCGCAATAAAATTCATCACTGAGAATGTGGTCTTTAAGTGAGGCATCACATGACCACACCCCGTTTGATGACCTTTTAAGCCACAGTCACTAAGCAAATCACCATGGTTGTTAAGGGAGATATCAGGTGACCAGAACTCGCAATGTTCCTTGCTGGCTTCTCCATTGACTGCTTGTTGGAAACCAGCAAGGAGGGTGGTAATCACATGACCGCAGGGATGCTGTGAAAGTTATGAGTGCAAGTACTGGTCATAAGTCACTTTTCTAACATTGTTGTAACTTCAAACAGTCACTAAACAAATGTTTGGAAATCAAGGTAAACATATGGTCAGAAATAACTGTATTTATGTAAGTCAGAAGCACCAGGCTTTGTTACTCTAACTCAGTGGCCCCCAACCCTTTTTGTACCATGGACCGGTACTGGCATCACAAAATGATCCACTGACCAGTACCGGCATCAGCACACACGCCCAAGGCAAGGCGAGCTGAGCGACCGGCCAGCCAGCCGTCCCCCTCTTCTCCCCGCCACCTTCAACTCCTCCTTTGTACCTTTGTCGATGGGCTTTTCGGGCTCTTTCTTAATCTCCTCCTGAGTAACGCGAGACTCCACCGCCATCGGGACGGCTCTTCGTTTGAAGCCACCCCCCCCTTCGACGAAACAAAGGCGCGAGGATTCCTTCAGCACCCAAACGCTGCTTTCCAACCGACAACCGACAAGGTCACCCGGAAGCACTTTCTCAAGCGCCGTTTAAACAAGATGGCGGCGCCCACTTCTTTGCGGCCCGGGAAAAAATGATCCACGGACCGGTACCGGTCAGGGGCCTGGTGGTTGGGGACTACTGCTCTAACTGACCAGGCTCAAATAATCCAACTTCACATACATTATGAGAAGAACTCTCTGTCTAGAGAAAGCTCTACTGCTGGGAAAGGTAGAGGGAAAGGAGAAGTAGAGGAAGACAAGTAGCAAAGTGGAGGGACTCAATTACAGTGAAGATGAGTGCACCACTGGAAGGGCCGTATTAGGGACCGATTGTCAAGGAGAAAACCAATCTTTGTGGCTACTAATAGAACAACCTGATAGCACATAATCATCAGTCATTGTTATTGACACATATGAAGGAAGCTGTAGTGGTGGTAGTAGTGATGAAGAAGGTGATTAGGAAGACCTTGGTTTATTCTATAATACTACATTTATTCATTAGGACTTCACCTTAATGAGCAGAAAGCTATACAATATGAAAGGGGGATTATGAAATGAATGGTTTCCTGGCTTAGGCACCATCACAAAGGCAACAAGAATTAGCACATGGATGGGCCTGACTATGAATTATTCATATATTGTGTTTAGATGAGAGCTTTACAGTATATCCAATATTAATTTATCCCCTTAAAAAACTGCCATCTCAATTAACCGTGCTAGAAAATCATGCCTATTCTTAAACATTATTTTAGGGTTGAAAGCAGTCCTTGGTTTATCAACTAACTATGGAAAAATACACATCGTGATACCCTTAACCCTCCTCATCGAGTAGTTCCATGTGTAGTTTTTCATCCTGTTGCAATGTCTATCCAGCATTAACGTAAGCTACGACACACACAAATCAGCATAAGTTACAGCTTTTAAGGCACGTGTCCCATGAAAACTATTGCTTCTTGCTGATATAAAATGAATGGGTGATTGTAAGGCTATCTTACTTGGAGCAGGCAAAATCTTTTTTTTTTTCCAGTCACAATGAATGTAAAGGATATGTCAGCTGTTGGTTTTGGAAGGGAAGTTGTTGAGGCCAATGGAATACAGGGTGGACTTACTTAAATGCTTGTTACATGATGCCGAATTTACATCAACAATCATTCAGCCTGTGCTTAATCTCTTATTTATCTCTACATTCGCTTCCTTCCCAGATTCTATTCTTTCTATTCTGTTGGTGTTGGATGCCTTCCTGGGTCTGTCTATCAATTCTTAAACATTTTACTGCCCAAGGAGGTTACCATTGTTAAAAAAAGATCCCCAGGAAGGGATTTTTGAAAACATGTACAAATCTCCCACCATAACCATATAGAATGGTAACCGAGGAGGTACAAGGTAAATAAGTACATTGCACATGGGATTTCTTTCCCATTGGTACTGCATGATGATGTTCATGAAACAGACATATCAAAGGTGGTACCACTTTTAACGTTACTACTGAGCTAGGATACATCTTCGTGCCTAAAAATCATACAAATAATATTCTAAGACTTCTTTCAACAATAACTGCATCTGATGCTGAAAGCCAGAATTTCATCAAGCTGGAATTCCAATGGAGGAACACAAGTACAGTTTATTTCTGTATTTTCCCTTGTTTTATTGTGCAATCATTGTTGATGAAAGCAAAGGGCTTATGCTTCTTTTTCCAAACTTAAGACAAAAAAGACAAGATCAACAATATGTGTGGCAACTAGGCCAGCACCAGGATTGAGGGTCATTAGCTTTTTAGAAGGTTCTTTCCTGTACTTGAAAGTCAATGTTAAGAGCCTACTGACTGCTCAGGGCCCTCAAACAGCACCCTCAATATGATATGCCTTGAGGGCAGGTTATATTCACCATTTAATCTTATTATTCCCCATAACCTTGGACAAGATACCTGAAGAGTGCCATGCTGGAAAAGACAGCTTTTAAAAAAAATGTAGGAAGTTAATACAGTGGCTGCTTGGCTGCATGAAGAGAAATTATATTTAAAATGGAGAAACATGGTATAAGATTCATTTATGACATACAGTAGGCTTCATCACAATATTTTGTACTTTTATGTTGAGGTTGCGACATCACAGATTGATATTATTCAATCATTATTGTGCTAATCCCCTTAGCCATTCCGCCTGCCCACTGACAGATGCCCATGTTTTCTGCATTCTGCTCTTCCATGAATTCAGCCTAGGATAGCATATTCAGGATTCCCCCTTTTTTTTTTCTCTCAGCAATTTTACAAACTAGTTTTTTTCCCCACAAATTTTCTGACAAGACTTTGATCAATACACTGGAGAGGCTGGATCAAAAGCTAAGGAAGACTAGCATTTTTAAACACGCTTACCATGATTTCTGCATCTACAGTATTAGGAACAAGTGATTCTAGAAGCAGTAATACTGCAAACACGGTGATATTGTAACACTGATTGTGTGCAAACATTGTGAGGAGGAATGGGTGACAGATTAAAAAACAATATTCAGAACTGCCTTTCTGGCAGTATAGATGTATACTAGCTGGAGTGCTAGAACGAGCAACTCTAAAAGTGTTTCATAAGCTGGAGGGCTGTGTATAATTTTAAGGCTTGTTATTATTATTAAACATTTATGTAGCTCTTTAATTTGCATATTTAATTGCATGTAATTAACACCACTCACATATCCAGTCCGCCTGAATCTCTCCGATACCAAAGTGGAGATAGCAGGCAAGTTTTTCATATTTTTACATATCTGCCCTCAGATATTTCTCAAAAGAGTAAGCTGAGCTTTCAAAACTGGTAACAGGAAACATTTACTATAAGATTTTTTTTTAATGACTCAAAACAGTACATTTGAAAGTATTATTTTTCTTCCTTTTTGCTACTATATTTTCAAACCAAACCATACAATGATAAGGACTTAAGCTTCCAAGTTCTCATATTCTAGATAAGGGCTGTCAAACTCCTAGCCCGCAGGCTGGATGTGTCAGAATGCGTCCAGAGGTGATACTCAGCCAATTCTGACCGGTCTTGGCGGTCTGTTAGAGAAAATTTTGACTGGTTCGGAGAACCGGTAGGAAAAATTTTGACTGGCTTCGCCCACACGCCCTCACTCTTACCTCTCCAACCTATATTCTGTTGTTTATTAGCTCAGCTGATTCGTGTGGCAGAGCAGATTGCCATGCCTCAGCTGAGCTAAAAAACAGCAAAGCTCACCATCATTGATAAAGAAAGTAGTCTCTGAGCCCTGCATGCATGTGTGCAATATGTGCGTTTGGTGCGTGTATGCGATAGGCGTTGATATATTCCTTTCAGCGTTGATACAGAGGGTGGTGTTCGAGCACTGTGCACGCATGTGCAAAGCAAAGCGAGCTCTTCAAACCAGTAGGACATTTTTTTGAAACCCACTACTGAATACATCACGTGATGCTGCCATGACGATGTGAGTTTGACATCCCTGTTCCAGGTGCTTCCTTAGTTATTTGAGGTCATGGACTTATACAGGGTTGCCTGTTGCCTATCCCTGAATTATGATAGTTTAAAGTCTATTATTTAAAAATACAAACGACACATGGACATACACTTGCTGTCTTTCAAGGTGAACTCATACCTCATTTATTTTTTCATATGTAGATTAGTGTATTCATCACCAATTAAAAAGGAAAGTGAGCAAGTGTATAAACATGACCCAAACAGGGAACAGACTGATTTTCCCCATTCACGCTTTGACGATATTCACCTTAAAAACTGTACATAATGATAATTATCTCACAGGGTACAAAGGAATATTAGTTGAGTTTGGACAGGGCCTGCTACATTACGAAGTGTGTAACAACTCCAACAAGAAAGAAAGTGTGTGTGTGTGTGTGTGTGTGTGTGTGTAAAATCTATCACTTTTCTTCTCCTACAACAAAAATGGGGCAATCAATCCAGTGTAGCTGTTCCAACCATGCTGCTAATGTGCCAAATTCATAGGATTTAAAGGGGGAAAAGAAATGGTGAGTTGAAGACTTCTTGGCAGGAAGGAAGTTGAGTGGATAAAAGAGTAGGTGAGCTGAGAATTAATCTCTGGCTTTGATTGAACCAGAAGACCATGTAATACTCCAGTGAGAAATTCGGGAATTTAATCTCACTCCTGCAGGCTCACCATCACTTGAGACTATTATGCATGTGTGAACCAAAACAATCATGGTGAAAAGAAACAGCAGCAGAATAACAGCTAAGCTGGGTTGATTGCCCCACTATTGTACACTTGACTATTTTCATTTGCTAAAGGCATTCCTATTTTGCTGATCCATGTTGTATATGCTAAACAAATCAAGATTAATCTGGATTCTTTTAATAAAATGGGATGCTTGGGCATCAACAGTACTCATTGAGCATACTCTATCTCCAGGTTCCTGTCAGCGACATGTCACCTGCAATGCAAACAGCAGGAAAAAATATGAAATAATAATTTCATACATCATCTCTGTGAGCAGGAGGCAGTCAAACATTCAGTCCAAATTTAAACTGCTACTGTGCAATAAAGCAAATACCATCCAAATAATATTTCAAATGATTGAAAGGCTTTTGATTTCCAAGTGTATTCTCTTAAGCTAAGTGGTCCCCAAGACCATCTAGAAAATTCAATTGTTTCATTTTAAAATGTTTCTGCCTGAAATTATATCAAATCCTAATGTTTCAGAAGAAACACATGGGATTGGATTGCTGACTGGGCGCCTGATCTCAAAGAAAAAAAATCTAATTTTCTGATGGCATTTCCTCATAGTGTCTCAAAAGAGATAAAATTTTAATGGATGGTTTTCTGAAGCAGGTCACCAGTCATTGTGCTGGGAAGATGTGCAGGGGGAGTTTGCTGTGTGGCAGTGGAAATATGTATGTATGTATGTATGTATGTATGTATGTATGTATGTATGTAT